TAGAAGTTGGCATCATCATCCCCATAGCTATGGAATGTGATAGCTACACAGTTCTGAGGGTACTCTTGAGTGACGCTATAGCGAGGTCTCTTAGTAACCGGTCCCGTTGAGAGCTATCCTTTTGAACTTACTTGAAGTCAACATAGATCCCGTACGACCCCTTGATATCCCGGCAGGAGTGGAACAATCCTAGCCCCCAACCTCAGAATCCATTGCTTGAAGGACGGACTAATTGGGCGTACCGTGGTTTGTCCACTCTCCTTTCTCAAAGTGCAGGGTGGTGTCATACCATTGCCACCGTCCACCAACACCGCGAGGCTTTTCTTCGAGGAATAGTTGAAGTTTTGGTACGATATGTGATCCGTGGGTTTCAGTAACGTTGACAACATTCGCGTAGAGCACGGAAGTCTTTGAAAAGTACGCCATGGATGAAGGTAAGATTTAAGATGTAAAGCATGTACCTGCCACGTACTTCGTTGTTTATCTGGTAGAGAGAGCCTCCTTTAATGTGGAATGTAGGAGCGTAGTGCTTCAAACCGAGCGATGCAGGTCCAGGTTTCCCTAGTTGAGCACCAACATCAGCATTATATAGCGCATACAACTTGAAATGAGGTCCACTTGCCTTGGTTGATCTCGTTTACGCCAATGACAGGTTGGAGATAAAGGTTCCCGATGAACTGATACAAGCCCATTGCCCTAATAACGTCCCCACCCGTAAATCTTGTTTGACCAGTGGAGAATCCGTAGTTTATTCCTCCGCCTTGAGAGCCGTAGATCGCCGCCATCGCATTCATACTCTTCTGGCCTGCTGTTGGGACGCCTACAGCAGTAAAGGCAAGAGCGAATACCGAAGCAGCAGCAGCAGCGAACTTCATGTTATTGTTAATCAGTGGAAGTCTGTAGTTGAACGAGGGCCGAGGAGAAGTGGGAAACCGGTGAGAGAGATGTCTGGCCCGGTTGGCTGAACCACGATTTTAAACCCGGAGACTCTTAGCGATGCCATATGGGCATCGTCAAGCGGCATTCCATATACGCAATACCATTCTCCGAGGTATTCAGCCAAAGGGATAGTTCCTGTGTCACGCGAATACAAGAATGTCCAGAGAAGCCCCGCTACGTAACCGAATA